GCCATCATTTATTTATTATTCTATCTCTTTTTATTCGACGTACTTATTTAAATATGTGCATAACTTCTAGACAGATGCACCCCGAGCACCTGCAGCATCCTTGAAAACAAAAACACAAACAAAAATAAAGAAAGCCGAAAATATAAAAGTATAAAAAAGATGCCAACGTACAAAAGCATTTTTTCCGAGCTCTGCTCTCCGCTTCTGACTGCATATTTCATAGCAAAACGAGAAGGAAATCTAGCAGGTACAAAAAGTGGAGAAAAAATAAAAATGCTAAACAAAGAAAATAAAAGCAAACGGCGAGCTATACAAAAAATGGGCGCAAGGCAAAACTAAAAGCCAAAAGAAAATGCCGCGCTTTGGCCAAGAGTGTAGAGGGCTGGGGGCTGGGGGCAAGGGTCTCGGAGAGGGGTTCGGTTCGCATTATTTTGTATTACAGCGTCCCCTGCACATTCAGAAGTGGCTGCTGCGACCGGACCCCCCGCTCAGCTTGTATTGCAATTTTTCAATTTCAAAAACAATTTTGCTCTGCCAACATACGTGTGGTCAAAGATAAGCTCCGTAAATATATATAACAAAACAACCCAAATGAATACGGCCAGTGAGCCGGGCTATATAAAAAAAACGGAGCCCGCCATAAAAACCAAAAAGCGGCAGCCAAACCAAAGCTAACCGCAGCTCAAGCAGCTATAGCAGCAGCTCAAAACTGGCCAAAGCCAGAAAGGCGGTCAGCAGAAAAACAGCACCATTCGAAATACCAAAAATAAAAATAAAAATGCTATATGGGGTCTGGTTTTGTGTGGGCGAGTGTCAGCTTGGCACACAGCGGGAAATTGCACAAAAATGAATTGTGTTGTGCAGCATTTAGTGGTGAAATATAAGTGACCTGCTGGGCGGGACACCCAAATACAGGGGCTCTTTCAGGGGAACTCGATCGAATAGGGGCTTCTGCCACTGCAGTGCACGGCCAGGCTTCTTCTTTCGCATTGTTGGCGGATTGATTGAATTTGCCTTGCATCTGCAAGCTTAAACTGTGCAAAGTCACAATAAGAGAATTTTATTTGGACTTTAAAAATAATGTTTAAGAACACAAGACAATAGCAACCTTTGTTTAAAAAATTAATATAATATCAATTAAAGCTTATGGTTTTAATCTTTCAATTATTATTTAATTTTAGTAAAATTAAAATTTATTGTAATAATAACACAAGCACATAGTTTATAATCTTTCTATAAATATAAGAATATTATGTAAGCATAAACTATATTAAATTGCTGCCAAGTTGAATAGGCAACGCCAGTCAGTCAATGTATGAAAATCAATTTGCTGTGCACACAAATCATGAAAATCAATGCCAATGCAGCAGCAAGAAGCGATAGCAATTACTGCAGTAGCAGATGTTGCTGCTGTTGCTGTTTGTCGCTGCTGTTGCTGCTGCTAGTGTTGCTGATGTTGCTCCTGTTGAGTCCTTTGACCACATGAACAAAGGAGCTTGCCAAGTTCTCAAGTGCATTAATGTTCTGATTTGCGGTTAGCGCAATGCGTCGGATTTATAACGGGCGATGAAACGATGCAATAGAAACTGAAGCAGTACTATGGCAGGCCTATAACTTTTGAACTGACTATTGCGTGTTAGGTTTCAAACTTGGCTGAAGCCAAGAAGATGTGTAGCTTATGGTAAGATTGATTGCCGTAGGGACAGCGCTGACTTACTTGTATACTTAACTTTATTTGTTTAAGGTTGAAGATTAAATACCTTTCTTTCAATCTATTGCGGAAATTGGGTTGGTAAGACATCGATAGTGTGCACTATCAATAGTTTTGACTACTGTTCAGCTCTGAAAATATAATACTACATAACAATAAATCAAATTTAAAGTTCTTATTTTTACTGATTAACAAAGCAAATTGTAACGAATTCATATTTTCATTAACTTCAAATATATATTATAATTGTCCTATAACGCTTCCCCATGGTCTGCAGGCCAACTATCTTACAAAGTTTGTTTTTTAAATTCTTAGCCTGAAAGTTGAAAATTCTAGCAAGTTCCCAGAAATATACCATTAGATTTGCAATATTGTTCGACTATCGATATTATCGATGGTGTTATCGATTGTTTTTCCAACCAAAATCTTTTGTGCCTTCAATTTAAAACAAAACCAGGATTGATTAATTCGAAACTACTCTTACTTTTTTGTTGGAGCGCAACAAATGTTCTAAGCCGTTGGTGGGTAAGTGCATCAGCCATTGGCGGAAATCGAATTCATTTGGGGCTTTTGCCGTCCTGCGGCAACGGTGCGTATGTGCAATGTGGCTTTGGCAGCGCCAAGGAAATTGACAAAAACAGGGAAGCAGTCGGCTCCCAAAGGCACTCAGCGGTTGTGGCAGCAGCAATAACACAAAACCGCAAGTCTCTAAGCCGCTATAACATTTCTCAAACGCAGCCAAATGGGTTGTGGGTCGAGGGCTTGAGGGGTGAAAGTGTAGACAATCGGGGCATCGAAACCGGCGTAAGCCGCTAACAGAAGCAGCTGCAGATGTAGCTGCAACTGCAACTGCAACCACAGCCAAGCCACCCAAACCAAGCGGAGCATGGCGAAGGCAAACAAAAGCTTAGCGGGCATAAAAACAAAATGCCAAATGCGAAATGCGCCCCAGCGAAATCCAAGTCCAATTCAAGCCAGAAGCAAATCAAAGCAAATGCAACACTCAATTGCCATTATCGACGACGCTAAGGCAGTTTGGCTAAGGGTTGCCTTGGAAAACAGAAATGAAAATACCCCAATGAAATTGTAACTGCTTTCAGCCCAAGGATCTCCGATATTGCTGGCTTTCCCTGCCTGGATTTTGATATTGAAAACCGCTTAATGGAGTGCAACTTATTGCATGTGCACTGAAAAGAGACAGAGAAGTTTCGCCGACTGCAAGGAGCTGTAATAAAAATTTAATGAAAACGCCCACCGGCAATCAAAATTCAATGGGCATTTGGTCAAAGGTAAAGTCTATATATAAAGGGAAAAAAAAAGTTTTGAAAAGCTTTTAAAATCAATTGGTCCAAATTCACTATGCCAAATTTTGGTTTAGAATTGATAGTCCATATTAATGGCAATGCTCCTCCAAGTTTAAGTTTTAAGAAAATTAATATAAAAGCTAGAGCAACGACGATTTTGAGCATTTTTGAAACTCAATGACAAATTATCAATTTCTTGTTTTTAAAATGTGTTAACAACATAAAGGGTCACAATTTAATTTATTTATTACAAGGAGTTGTAAGATATTGTTTAATCTGAACAAAAACAAGGAACAATATTTGTAATATTTTTATGTGTGCAGTTGGAGCAGCCTTTAGTTTGGCCATATAGTAAGCCATAATCTGGAAATCCACCGATGCTGATCACATTCTGCGCCAAAGACCCACATATTTCCAGAGAAACCACCATCAAGGATGCAGTACATACACGAGCAGCAACTCCACATGTACCATAGATGGCACCAACCTCGACCACCTGCCCCACTAAGTGAGTTGAGCAGCAAGAAGTTGCCTTTTTTGCTGTTCTTTAATTTGAAAAAATTGTCAAGCATCAAAATACTTTTAGAGCTTTTCTCAGCCCGAAGGCAGTGGAAAACAGGAGATGAAGCCCAAGTTACTTGGCCAAGTTACTTGTCAGCCGCCGCGTGCGGTGCGTGCAAATAAATCAAATAAATTATGGAAAAACCGAAGTAAAGTGTGAGAAATGGTTGCGGCTTACCCTGCCCCACCGCCACAATCCCTGGTCTACTCATATGCTTATGCTGTAACAAAAAAGAAAAAAAACATATTCATGAAAATGAAAAAACTGACTAAAAGAGTGAAAATTTCTGTTGGCGGCTGCCGCATCTGGAAAAAAGGAGTAACACCGACCATAAAAAAATAGCAGCAACATCATAATCAACAGCAAAAAAAAAATATTAATGGAGTTTTCATGTTTATAATGTCATTAGCTCACAAATGCTGCGGATGCTGTGGAAGCTTGTTTTGCTGTTGCCGTTGCTGTTTGCTCTTGCTACTCCTGCTACTGTTGCACATGTGCCGTGATTCTCTACCACATATTTTCAGTGATTTTTTCGCTCCTGCCACCACCTCCTTGGGCCGCACATCCACAACCTTTGCGCGCACACAGAGACAGCCGTAAACATGCAGCACACCCACATAGACACATCTATAAATGTGCGAACACTAATGTGCACATTATGTTGGGGCCATTATGCCGGGGTCCTGGCTCCTTCAAAGCCAAGGGGCCAGGAGCCTGAAGCCTGAAGCCTGGAACCGACTGCCCACCAGACCATGCACAATAAGTTGGTGGTTTCGGTTTTCTGGGTGGCGCCACCAGTTAGCAAGTGAAAACCCTTTAACTCATTTGTTTTGCTTAGCACAGCAGCAACAGCAGCCACTAGGGGAGCTTGTGAGTGCGAAAGGGGATGCGATTTGACTGTGTTAAACAGGAGGCGTGTGAAATAACGTTTAGCTTGACATTATGAGACAAGATTCTGGTCTAAAGAAGTGCAGAAAGTCAAAAATTTTTCTAAGCCTGTTATAAACATATCTTAAATTTATTTCAGTTATCATAATAGAGGTATTTATTGGCTTTATCGAATTGAAAAATATAACGGGTTTATGGTATGCCATAAAAAATAAACTTAACTTGAGAGGAAGCAAACTTCGACAATCCATACTTTATATACCCCTTCAAATATTTCAAAATTTAAATATTCTTTTACACTATATTTTATATATTTTTTTTATTTTTTAATTAATTAACTTATGTAATAGGGAGTGATAGTATGATGAAAGTTATCAAAAGTTGTGTTATAAAGATTCATTCAGTCAAATCACCAACACAAAACAATATTATAAATAAAATATTCAGAAAGGATATTGCATATTGACCTCTTATCGCGCCTAAAGCTATATCGTGTGCATACTGGCATTTCTTTTATTTTAGAAATCGAACTTACCTTAAGTTCATATTCTACTTCAGTATTTTATTTACATTTCCATATACATTTTTATTATTCTTCAAAATCCGTCATAGAGGGTACATGTACAACCATGTCTATCTGATCTCGCTGCTGGCCATCATAAAATTTAAGACCTGCAAAGTGCTCAATATCTCGAATGTCAGATAAAAATGATCGCAGGTCCATTTCTTTGTCGACATCAGCGTTCGGCACTACAAAGCCTTCCATAAGAGGTGCAGCACCATCGACATTCTCATCGCAAATGATGATTTTGAAAAAGTGAGTTGGTACGGCAACAGTATTCATGCCTGTTACGTGATAACGCACAGACCAGTTTCTGAAAGAAATCCTTTGTGGCATAAATAGAGGACCGGTATAAACATATACCGATCCGAATTTAAAAGCCAATTCCCTTACATAGTTCTCCAAGCGAAGCCAAATGTGATTTTTTAGTCCCCGATTAATGGGTACGATGTTGGGAAATTTGTAGGCTTCCGTAAATTTAACCATGTCGCATTTGTAGTTCTGGGGCGAGGCCAAATGACCTCCAACCCAATCGCTATTCCTATAGTCCCGCATAGTTGCACAAAATGTTGGCAATATGGAAGTATCCGTTATGTAGAGATTCGGCTTATGCAGCGTCTTAGGATCTCTGTGCTCTAAACAGTCTTTTTTAATGTGTTCGCACACCCAATGGGCAATGCGGTTGCGACGATCGTATGATAGTACAAAATTTTTATACACGCGTACTTCATCCATTCCCGGAAAGCCATACTTCATAATTCCAGCAACATGCTCCATTTCCTTTTCTAGGTTGCCTTCTCGATGCCCGGCGGAAAAACTCATGAACGCTATCTTTAATAATAATCAGTCAATATCGGTTTTCCCGGCTTTTAAGTCTGGACTCACTATTTTATTTGCCTTCGTCCTACCCCACAGTGTGAATTGCTCGAATAATGACACACTACCAATATCTGGTTGTTCAAAAGACGTTTTGGCACTAGGTGTATTTTCTCCACCACTATTCTTCGCAGTTTTATTATCAACGACGGACATATTAGTTGACCCCCAAAAAAGCTCTAGCTGAAATACAAAGGGTTTGTAACAACATAATATAATAATAAAAAGGATATGACTTACGGCCCTAAAAATGTGTGTCCGACATTGGTAAACATATGGATCAGTCACCATGATAGCCTTAATTCTTCTACAAGATATATCTTGTTGCACAAGCGCACCGAGAACAAAAAAGGTAGCTCCCGTTACAGCACAAAATGTTGCAGTTACATAACTGGACATGTTATTGTTTTGTTTTTTGTGTAGAAAACTTTAATTTTGTTATCAAAATTATGGAGTAATGAATACATTACAATACACATATTTAAATTGCAATTTTTGAACAATTATTTGTTTACTTGGGTTTTCTATATATGTTTAAATCGAACACCAAATTCTTAGATTAATATAGATAATTTTCATCACAATTTGACAATTTAAGCAAAGAAATTTCGTTTCACGCCGAAAACATATGAGTTTAAGAATATGATAAGATAACACTAGTAAATATATATATTTTGTACCGCAGCTGAAAAACAATAAAAACAAAACAATAGCAATTCAATTACGAATGATAACGAGGTGTCCTGAGGATTACTTCCTTTTTATTTTGCCAATTACATTTTTCTGCCTCTTCTATTGACATTCTCTCTGGTTTTTATGCCATATGTGATAAGCATATTTGTACTTTTACTCTCTATGCTTGTAAATATTATGAGTAATGTGAACTTAATGACTTACCACATATTTGTGTGCGAGCTGTGCTTAAGTTTAATGTATTTTAAATTTACTTCCCACGCATATTGAATGTATTTTCATTGAGCTGCGAAAGAAAGTTGTCTGCCTATAGGAAATAGAAAGGAATTTTGTGCTATTTCATGAGATAATCTGCATCCACTTTCCCCTCAAAAAACCACCTCTTTCCGCTTCCTTCCGCGACGCTTTCCTATTTTATAATGATTACATTTTCATGTTTTACAATGTTGTAATGCCTGGATATGAGTCCCAAAAGCGGCATCCTATCCTAAACGAGGTTTTTATGACGTCATTTAGGGGTTAATGTGTGTGGGTCTGCCCGTCATGGTAGATTCATTAATTTTGAGAACTTTTCGAAACTATTAACAGCAACAATCTTTCTAAGGCAGCTGTGATATTTGCGAGCTGCGGTCCCCGAGTTTTGCGATGTCAATTAACATTTTGCCGAGAATCGGCAGCGCACGAATGCATTATTAAAGAGCTCAATCAGCCTCGGCCGGAAACGGAAGTGAATTTCAAGTTTTTATTCTTACACTTCCCATGGGGAAACTTTTTCGGAAACGGGGGGAGGGAAAGTGCACGTTTACATCCGCGTTTAGTTCGCCTTTGTTTGAGACCAGCAAAGTTAGCGCATTTCATTTATTCATGCCCCCTTGACCAGGCCCAGTTTCCCATTCCCCATTCGTTGCCCTCTTCCGTACTTTCCTTTTTCTCGAAGGAAGCAGGAAGAGGCAGCATGTCGCGTCCTGTGCTAAATGTAATTTTCCGTTGTTAAATCCTGTTTTTCAAAACTTCTTTCCAAAGTGCAAAGGAAGTCAACTCGAGCAGACAACAAGCAAAACGTAACAAAACGAAAGAGGGAAAAACAAAAGGCAGACCAGCGGAACTACCAAGAAATATCAAACAGTTGGCGAGAGAAATAAATTACTTGGCACTCATCATCTCTCCAGCTCCAATATGAACAGTGGCAAATTTATTTTAAATTGGCTATGAAACAAAATTTATAGGCCGATTTGAAGAGGAAAATTAAATCACCATATAGTTTTTTTTAGTTGTCAATAAAATGGTAGGATAATTAAAAAGCTAGTTTTTATTTTGCTATGAAATGTTGATTTTTTATTGCACAGGTTATTCATTAATTTATAGATAATATACAAAAGTCAATATTTATATATAGAGATATAGATTTTTTAAATGTATTTACATTTTTTTTGAATATTTAAGGAATGAGTTTCTTAATAATTTATGCTTCATCATGCAATAAAATAAACAAGGTATCTCTCTGTTAAGTTAAAAAAACAACATTTCGTATTTACTGGTGTAAGGAAAACCCTTAAGAACTTGTTTTTGTTTTCTGTGAAAGAGAAAATCGTGCTTCTTGTATATTATAAGATATGTTTTTAAATATATTTTTCTTAATTTAGGTTTTCGTATGCTTAATACATTTTGCTTCCCAAAAAATGCCCTAGAACATTCACTGGTAAACAAAAGCTCCTCCTTTTCGAGAGTTATGGACCAACTTGATGGTAAATATTGTTCAAAGCCACGCCCAACTAATTACAACTTCTTATGTCCCGCAACACATTTACTTTAATTAAGTTATTTGCCGCGCCCATCGTGGATTAATTTTGGCCGGCCAAAATGACAAATGTACCATTAAGAACGCCTTCCGAAAAAACTTTACAGCTGCGCGGAAGCGGGTCATAGTTTTTTTTATATGTGAGAGTACATCTCCTGTCTCAGGTCTCACTCTGACCCCATGGTCTTTGTCCACTTGGCAGGAAAACAAATTTACGGCATTGCTTTTAGTTGTTCCTCGTTATTGTTGTTGCACATTTGAAATGTACATAATAATTCACACTCTCTGGGCTGCGCGAGGGGTTGGTGGGGACCACGCACAAATCTACGCCAAAAGTAAAGTCATAAGAAAATGCATAAAACATGCCCAACATTCGCCGTCAACGTCGCCAACACTTCAGCTGCCTGCCAGGCAAAAACTTTTCTCATCATCAACCACAAACAAAGGCCAAAACAATGGGAGAGCAAGTGAGACGGCGGTGAGAGCGAGAGGGGGCGAAAAGAGCCCGAAGAAAGCTAAAGCCCGAATCGGTGGACAAGGCCCAAAACATAAATTGCTGCAGGACAACAGGGAGAGAGCGTACATAGTGAACACCGGGAACAATGTCTTTGGAACATGGTGACTATTTCCTATAGCACCATGCCCAAAAAATATGCGAAGGTTCCCGAAAAATATAAAATAAGCAATAAGAAAGCCAACATAATTAACACATGTGAAGAAACTAGAACTATCTTAACTCAGATTTGTAATTTTCGTTTATTTGGATAAGAGCGAAAAACAACAATCTTAAATAAATAAATATATTTCACACAAATAAAAAAAAAATATTGGTTTTATTTATATAAAATTTAAGATTTATTTTATACTTTTTATGTATTTCGAAGTTGGAACTCCATATTTACATTCGTGACAGTGATAGATTCTTTATATATGTTCTATACATTGTGTTAATTCTAACCAAAGATTGTGTATTTTCAGTAAATTTAACTATATTTCAAAAATTGTTTTTCAAAAATTTCATTTGGCCAAAATTTATAAAAAAAAACTTTCGTTTAATTCAGCATTTCTTTGTATTTCTTCCTTCCGTGTAGACAATGGCATTGCTAGTCACCCCAAAAGGATCACCAAACACAGTCCACGCCCACTGCCACGCCCAACCGGCTAAGCCACAACAACTTTGTAGCAATTAAGCTCGGGGCCAGTTCTGGCATTGGGCCCAAAAGCAATGTGAAGCGGGGGCCGAGAGAAAATAATTTTTAATTGTGCTGCACAATGCTGTAAAATTAATTCATCTTTTTCACACTCAAATAAATTGCTGTTGACGCGACAACAACAGCTTTGGTGGCAGACCGATGGGGGAGAGGAGAGGAAGTTGTTGTCGCCTTCGTCTGCTCAAGAGCGTAAATAATTACGTTTTCTTTGTGCTGTTGCCAAAACGTTGCAATTCCTGCTGCTGCCCCTTAAACTCGAATCCTTAGCCGCCCACTTGTCCCTCATCTGCTGGCCTTTGCTTCAACCTGTCACTTGCCGGTGGCAAAACAGAACAGAACAGAAACCAAGAGAAGCAAAACAAAACTGCGAATGCAACTGCAGCTGAAAGTGCGCGACATACATGGCGCATACGTAACGTGCTGGAAGAGCAGCAATTTCTTTAATATATTTACGCCCAATGCTTGTAGCAAAACAAACAATGACGCATACAATTTATATTTAATTATGCGCAAATTAGTCTGCTCTACCCTGCGCTTACACAAACACACAAAAAACCAAAGCAGTTGGAAGGAAGTGTTGGCACATGACAAACACTCTCAACTTTTTGCCCCGTATTGCTCACTCTATGTGTATGGTATATATATAGTAAATGCGGGTTAGGGAACTGCGAGTTGAGTTGGGTTTTTGTTTACGGTTCAGTTTCGGTCGGATTTTACGCTAATTTCCCTCGCCCGTTTATTGCGGCCTTGCTGCACTTTTATTGTATTGCATGCTTCCAAGTAATTTACCGAAAACTTAATGAATATTCAGCAGTTTGGGCAAGCTAACAGTTATGAGCAGAGCTATGGCATCTCCCCTGCTCTTAATGCCGAACATAATCTATCCGTTTGAATTATTCAATTCCTATGCCCCGGCTGCTGACTGGATTTGAACACCTCAAGAGTCGGGCGGCCCGAAGGCTTCCACGTGGCAGGATTTAAAGCTCTCCGGACGATGGGCTAACTGGGAAGACGAAGAAGGAAATAAGGAAAACAAAAGATAAGCGAGGAAATAAATTGAAATACTTTAATGTGGAACTAAATAAATATGAGGTTTGCCTTACCGAATTAAGAGTTTATAAAATATGAGTAATTGGATAAGCTTAAAATAAAATTATTTTTATTTCCTTAACATTCAAAGGCATTTTAAATAAATTAGTTCTAATGAGCTCGTGTATCGATGCCCCCAAAAATGTATGAATATTTCCTGAGCGCAAATACTTTCGACAAGAATCTCTGGGGCTCCAAACTTCTTTGAACAGTGCTTCAGTCGAGAAGAGTTCTTGCCGTGAAGAGTTTCACAATTTAAGTTGAGCAAGAATCTGCACAACTTTGACAATCGAATAGTTTTGCTGGCAAAAACTTTAAAGACACACCTCTTGGGGTTGCCGCCCCCTTTTAATTTATCCCGTTTTCCTAGCCAACATTTGCACACTCATTAAATGCTGCACATCAAGTTGGTCCCCGAAGCCCGCACAATTTATGGCGGCAACTGCGAGTTGCATGCCTCCGTAATTAACTTGTTGTACCCGCCTCGCATGTAGAACTGTGAGACCCGTATGGGGCGTGCAGACGGTACAGGTGGCACTGCGGTGTGGTTGACTATTATTAGGTGCCCCGAAGCGATGGAAGGAACACTGAATTTATGAATGGCACACGGTTTGGGGAAGTATTGAGGGTGGTGATGCAAATGCTTAGCACGAAGTTGAGTTACACTGAGAATAGAACTGAAAAGTTCTATTAATACATATATTAATTAAGAAGAAATTATTCACTATTTTAAAAATGTTAAATAATTTTTACTGCGAAATGGCAAATATAATAATGCATTTAATAGTTGCAAAATTTTCTTGATCAAGAACAAGAAGTACTCATCATAATATATTATAATATTAATTTGTTATTATTATGCAAATAAGTTTATGATTTATTATATTTACATTAGTTATTTTATTAAATATTTTAAAACGGGTTTTAAAGTGTAGTGGAGGCTATTGTTATTTGATTCTTTCCTGAGGATTCTCTCCTCCTACCACTGTGACTGAAATTCGCCAACTGTCGGTGACAAGCAAAGGAAATACTACATCGTTGGAAAACCGCGTCAAACAACAGCTTCTGAAAGAGGAGCGACGAGAGGCGAAAATGGAGAAAGGAGAAAGGTGAAAGGAGAAGGGAGAAGGGAAGAGGGGGACAGACAGGGGTTTCCGTTGAGGTCGCTGCATGCATGTGAATTGCTGAATTGGGTGCGCCTCCTCTTATAAACAACAATAGCAGCAACAAGCCCAACCAACTGCAAATTGTCGCGACTACAAAACGCTTGAAATGTCTGTGACCTCTAATGGGGGTTATAAAGGGGTGGAGAGCATCAAAGGCGCAACACCTTCGCAGACGAGTCCTTTGGGTATTTTGGTCTCAAATTGTTTAAGTCGTCAGACGCATTATACAAATGAGAAAATGAATTAAATAAATGCACATTGTTCATATTTTAGCTTTGACTAAGGTCAACCATACGTGAAAGGGCAATGCTCTACTTAAAGCACATTTTAAATAGAACATAATGACACACTCCGCATAGGTTCGTAGTGTTGACGATAGTAAATTAAATTTTTAGTAGAATACAAGCACATTCAAAACAACCGAGAGCTTGACCTGCAATTAATTGATGCACATAAATCAACCGCCAATGGCAAAAAAAAAACCGTATAATATTTTTACTTCCCACCCAAAATACAAACACACACAAACACGTAGATACTCACACAATTCCATACATTAAGCCTTGAATAGCGACAAACTGAAGTTCAACTAATACTGATTTATTTATATATTTATGTAATGGCATAAATGTTATCGCTAGCAAACAATACAAAAGCCTGACAAGGACGAGGGACGAGGAAAATGGGAACTAGCCAAAGAACCCTCGCAAATGGTCATTTATAACGATTGCCATGGGTTACGGCATGGGAAAGGGGAACAAAGCATTACATAATAATAAAATAAACTGAGACTGGCAAGGGCTGCACTCAACAAAATATTACACTTAATAAAGGATTCATTAGGCAGTAAAAAAAACTTTTTAAATACATACACGTTTTAATTTTTGTAGGATCTTCTGGTTAAAATTTAAAGAAGTGGTTTGTTAACTTATCATCAGCCGTTGTTCTTTGTCTTATTATAAGATGCCACTTAAATTAACTAAAAACATAAATGAACTTTTTACTTTAACTGGGTAATTATTTAAAAGATAAATATCTACTTTAAAGTTAGATTATTATAGTTCCGTCATTTGTTTTTAGTCATACTTTAAATGTTAAAAATCTGTTCATATTTCAAAAAAAGGTATTTTTTATCTTATTGCCTCTAATATAATTAGTGGATTTGGTGTCCAGTGTTTCTATACAATAATAGTTCCCCCCTTTTTTTTGTATACTTGACACTTTATCCTATGCTCTCAATGCCATTAAGTCCCCCTTTCACTTTACATGTTGCATCATTTAATATTTGAACGCTTTATCTGAAGCAGGACCACTGCGATTCTTTCCATGCGCCGACTGGAGTATTTATCATCAATCAACGCACGGCCTGCTGCACACACAGATGTACAGACTCTCTCTTACACATATGTCCGCTTATGACTTTTGGCCAAAACGGAGGAAAGCTGCGCATCTTCAACTGGACTCTAGCTGGAGCTGATTGATGAATCGCAGATGTAAATTAATTTGCTGATGTTTTGTTCAATTTCGTTTCAGTCTTGTCAGAGTTGTTTGCACCAACTGTCTGTGCCATTCGTGTGAGGTGTGTGTATCTGTGTTTGGTACTGGGATATTTAGATACCCACACGCAGAGGATTTCAGCAATGGCTGGCATTTGTAAGCCGCTTAATTGCTTTATTTCGCCGTCTTTGAATGGCTCTTCCTTACTGCCCTGGTCTCCCATTTTTACTGCCCATTCCTTGCCATTCTGCATTTCCCATCTAACGATTTCTCCAATTGGCTTTTCCCTGAATTTTAGCTAGATCCTACTTTGCCAAAAGATTCTCCCTTTTTTGTCGAGCCTGCTAACTGGGCAAGGTTTTTATTTTTACTCCACAAAGAAGACTTCTAAAATAATCAATAAATCCAAAATATAGAATATCTTTATTTTAAGCAAACATATTTAAATCTAATTAATAAATGTATATCCTATCGACATCTACTTGTCGGCATCTATTTACTTTTTGTTAAAGAAAATCTTTAAATTAATAAACAGCAAAGCTTTTGTCGATTTGTACAAAAAATAATTTTGTAATATAACAATACTTTTCTACAAATGCTTTTTGACCATGGGCATTTCCCAGTCGACTCCTTCATTAGCTGGTTCGTCTCAGCTTGTTATTTATTTGCCCTCTCCCTTTGATATATTGAAAAGCATTTTCCGCTACACAGTACAATTGCAAAAGAATGTGGCAAGCTCATAAGCCCGTGTGTGGCCCGAAGGATAAGTGTCCTGGGCACGCACTCCACCCCAGTTTCTCGTCGCAAGCCAACCCAATCCGCATGGGCTCGTTGGTTTGTTTTATGGTACATTTAAGTTAATATGATTTACATTCGCCTGCGGATGTCAAAGGCAACTGGGGAACGGAGGCAACGAGTTGCCATTAAAGATCAATCAAAAGCGTTTATCCTTGATTATTTGTCATTATCCTTTTTGCGGCAACAAAGCAAAACCGAGCGAACAAAGCCAGCAACATCGACGGCTTAAACTGTAACCGAGTGTGTAGGCTTGCGATTCAGCGAGTCCCTTATTTATTTTGTACATTTCAAATGCCTGCTAATGCCAATGCCAATGCCAACCAAAGGCCCATTCGAAATCCAAAATCCCCTTCCCCGCAAAGCAAGAGAGTGATAAATGACATTAATCCGCCATGTTCAGCGTTTCAAGTGGCAAAACCGCAAAAAAGCATAAAAACTTGCTGCCAGCCCACAGTCGCCAGTGGACCTCTCATGCTGAAACTATATTTGTTTCGTTAATAGTCCTACTCAACTCATCGGAACTCACAGTCGCGCCGGCTGATAAGACAAGTGGCTTTGTTGCTTGATATATAGACACAGGTGCGAGTGGCGAACACTGGGCATTCACTCAGTCAGTCAGTCAGGCTACGATTAATATTCATTAGGTTGAAGGCCTACGAAATTCCTATTGAAGCCAAGGATCTACCACGGAAAGAGATAAGAACACACAAACAAATATACAAAATAATAATAATATTAGATATACAAACAAACAAGAAAGAAAGCAAACTTCGGCAAGCTGAAGTTCATATACCCTTGCAGCTATTGCAAGAATTAAACATTTTTGAAAACATTAAAATTATGATTTACTTTCGTATATGTTTAAAAACATTGAAGCTATGATGATTTGCAGCTCAATTATTTGATAGTTATTTTATATATTTTTATTATTTCTAAGGGAACTATATGATATAGACGTCCGATTTTGATAAAATTTAAACCATAATTCTGAAATATTTAACCATTGCTATATGTCGAAGAACTAAACAAAAAATTAAAAAACAGAAAAGTTATAATTTTTTTCATTTATTTTTCCGATTGTTCCTATGAGAGCTATATGATATAGTCGTCCGACTTTGATGAAATTTAAACCGTAAATCGTAAATATTTAACCATTACTAAATTTCGAAGAACAAAACAAAAAAATAAAAAACAGAAAAGTTATAATTTTTTTTCATTTATTTTTCCGATTGTTCCTATGGGAGCTATATGCTATAGTCGTCCGATTTTGATGAAATTTGAACCGTAAATCGGAAATATTTAACCATTACTAAATGTCGAAGAACTAAACAAAAAATTGAAAAACAGCAAAGTTATAATTTTTTTCATTTATTTTTCCGATTGTTCCTATGGGAGCTATATGCTATAGTCGTCCGATTTTGATGAAATTTAAACCGTAAATCGGAAATATTTAACCATTACTAAATGTCGAAGAACTAAACAAAAAATTAAAAAACAGCAAAGTTATAATTTTTTTTCATTTATTTTTCCGATTGTTCCTATGGGAGCTATATGCTATAGTCGTCCGATCCGGCTCGTTCCGACTTATATACTACCTGCAATAGAAAGACAACTTTTGGGAAAGTTTCATGCAGATAGCTTTAAAACTGAGAGACTAGTTTGCATATAAACGGACGGACAGACGGACAGACGGACAGACGGACGGACAGACGGACGGACAGACGGACAGACGGACATGGCTAGATCGACTCGCCTAGTGATGCTGATCAAGAATATATATACTTTATGGGGTCGGAGATGTCTCCTTCACTGCGTTGCAAACTTCTGACTGAAATTATAATACCCTCTGCAAGGGTATAAAAATAACAGTAATCCTTCAAGAAACTACTTTCTTATAACTTTCTGAAATTAAAGAAAATAGTAAATTTTTTGCGTGTTTTTGCATTATTATCAACAAAAAGTCTTTTATCTGTTTTGCCTATTAATATTTTTAAGCATTTTTATTCTTGTTCTTCCTAAGTTACATCTCGTTTTCAACAAGTTAATAAATTACAAATAAATATTTAAATTTGTTTTCCTTTTTTTAAACTCCCAAAAACTTTTTGAAAGCACCCTCCGAAGGTGAACCCTCTTAAGCTTTCGCATCATACATCAACGTTATTAAAAGAGGAATTCCGAACAACTTATGCATACATTTAGATTGATTTCCCATAAAACCCAACCATTCTAAAGCTCACCTCTTTCAACCCCATCGACTGCACCTCAGTCGCTTTATATTCGCCATTCCATTCCATTCCGACGTCTTTGCCAGCCTTGGCAATCATTAATTTATCAATGTGCCAGCGCCTTGGGAGAGCATGAAAATTTTTGACATGGTTGCATGGCTCACGGCTCTTTTATGGGCTTTTTTATTATGATTATTTCTTTCTTTTCGCCGAGACAACAACAAAGGGGGAATCACATACGGTCGCGGCTATAATGTGCGTTGGGTGGGATTTTGGGGTTGGACTGGGACTTCTTTGGGGACTCTGGAATTGGGTTGGGCCCTGGCCTCGGGCCTTGGGACTCGGAACTCCGGACTGCTTGTTGCTTGTGGGCTGCCAAAATAAAGTCAAAAATCAAATGTTTTTGATATCGACTTTGACAGCTTCATGACAGCGCTCAATAAATTTTGATAACGTTTTTTTTCCTCGCTCCCTCCGCTTGGAAAAATTGAAAAGCCTGCGTTGAAGTCATGAAATCTCAGTCGGCTAACACAGACACACACACGCACTCAGCAGACAAGAGGCGTAAAAAAGCAAACAAACTTTCGCCCCAAACTTGCTGACAGGTGTAGTCTGGCATCCTGAGAGTTCTATGTGGGCTTTTGTTGTCTAAGCCTTTTGGTTTTTATTGGGGTACAAGAACGCGTAATTGCTTAGTGGCAAATGACACTGAATAATAAACAAGGCCGGGCTGCTCCACCCAAGAGGCGATTGCGAGGCTGTTTATGAGCAATTAATATGCTTGCTCAGGAGTCTGCCAACTGTCTAATCAAGGACAAGTTGTGCACTCCGCTGCCGGTTGCCTTCAGTTCGAAGAAGCTTTCACATCTTAAAGGAGATTTAGAGATGATTGGGTAAAACTAATTTCCTTAATCTTAATGATAAGTTAAATTAGACGATTATAAGATAAATAGTAGAGAAGAAGTTCACTGACTGCTGAATCAAGTTTAACATAAATGCCTTAAACAAATGAAAAAAACAATAACATGATGGCTCATTTATAAAAATCCTTTTATTCTTTCAATCGCAGTACCTATTGATTTCCTAGGCACCATTAAAAAAGCCCACCCAATCATGTTCTGCCTGAATTACCGCCTCCCTATCTGTGATAATTACCCAATTACATTTCAATCGAAATCCAAAAATCAGGCATCAAATAGAACCTCGGGTTCTCCAGCCCCCACAGCACCTATCTTCTTGTGTTCATCGCATTGAATGCCATAAAAAGGAGATGGAAGCGCAGCCGAAAGCAAAACCAATCAAATGCCAGACATCAACTTGAAATCCAAACATTAAGCCAAAGCGTGCGTAATTTTATTTATTTATTGATAATTTGCACCGCCATCACACACACACACACACGTCGAAATAAAAATCACAAGTGGGGGAACCACAAACAATTTTTACGCACATTTATCTGCTGAAGTTTTATATTTCCTGTCGGTCGTTTTTGGCATTGACACAAATCATAAACAGTGAGATTTAACTTTGATTGATGACAAATGCGTTGGATCAGGCTTTGATCAGGCCGTTAATGCATCCCCTAAAACCATCTGTGTCTAGATGGCTTCCAAACATTTAATTCTGTGCACTTGGAGGAAGTTTCGCTTATGCCTCTCAGTTTTTCCACCCACATGGCGTATGCGTAATGTGCGAAAATTTAATTTAATGGCTGTATAACGTATTTATGCAAAAATAGCTGAACGTAGAGGGTGTTACCTGTGCCAGCACGGGGAATGCCAATTTGTTTTATAAGTGCACGTCAAATTTGATCGCTTACAAATGCAGGAAGCGGAGCCCGTGCTCCATCTCCGTCTCATTTCCTTCAGCCATCTAGTGACTGTCTGTAATATGCGTACTATTTATGAATAATGTGCATGTGCCAGTGTGCTTGAGTGTATTTGTGTTTTTATTTTTATTTTTATTTTAGTTGAAAATGACAGCACGTCGTGGGAGTATTATTCACTTTGGGAGCAGCTTTTAACATGTTAAAGCTATGTCCTACTGTAGAGAACAAATTCGGCTCTTCCATTGGCTTGAAAAGCGCATAATAGAAACAAAATTGTTTTCGAATTATAACTTATGCTATTATCTCACTTATGAGTCTCAGAATCATAGTGAAATTAAAGTATATATAACTTTAAATAAAAGAATAGGTTCTAATAAGTTAAGATCAATAAAGTTATAGCAATAAAATTTCAAAACTTCAGTTTTCAAAGAATAAAAAGCATCTTAATACATTATTTTATCACTGCTGCCATTTTGTCAGTCCTTAAGCATTTCCACTTGCTCTTATGTATCTCTAAATCTTAACTTAATTGCTTGAATGCTTTTCAATTTACTCTAAAAACCGCACCGAAATTTCCACCTAACCGATTTGCAACTCTAGCCCGCATGCATTTTTCACACCTCTGTCCGTGCACTTTTGCCTGGAAAAACAAAACACGGAAGCAAAAAGAAATTGAAAGGAAAGCGGAGCTCATACAGCATATATTACGCAAAGGAAATTATTTTTTTCTCTTGCTTGCTCCCCCATCGCCAGTTCTCAAGCTCAAAATGTAATACACGTTGAAAGAGTTGACAACTCGAATGCTTTTGGGAGCCTCGCCTGTTCTGCCACCTTCGCCGGCTTCCTCAGTGGCTCCGCTTTCCGGTTCCGGCCAAGTCATTTATATGCAAGTCAAGCGTTTGGCAAACTTTATGTGAAAAATTGACGTTGGCGCAAAACACAAAGGTGCGAGGAACTCGAAACGAAACGGGGTGAAAACAGGGTGCTGAAGTAACGACAACATGCACGTGCATGCATTTAAAAATGTGCCGTGTGCGTTTTAATTTTCCCAAATAGCTAAGCATAATTTATAATACACTGAGTGGTATGGGATATCCAAAGGATCCGGTTGAGTGCCGAAAGATATCGCACACATAAGAAAAATTGTACGGCAATTACACGTGCTGGATAAACGGATGCTCCATTAAAGTTGCCAAAACATTTATGACCCCCAAAGAAACACGTTGACAGGGGCCCAAGTGCCATTGGAAGTGGGTGTGAGTGAGGGGCCAGGTGACAGGTACAAGAGTCAAATCCAGAGGCACTCGACAGCGTGTGCCGGCTATTAATCCCGCACACACTTAACCCCACAGTGCCAGCCCATGCCCATACTCTCGGCCAGCCGAAAAACCCGGCCCAGATAACACCCTCATCCACACCCACACCCCCTGCTCACCTGCCCAACTGCCCACCTGCTCATCAGGCAGCTTTTAGCAGGTCCGGCATACGGTAAATTGTGCACATTTTGACACATCATTTGACACCGGGTGTCAAACTGTGCGCCCGAGACAAAAATGAAAAGTTGTTCCTCACCCCAAGTGCTGAAACTAAAGAGACCGAGAGATATAATATAAAAGCGAGCGAGAGAGAAAAAAGGGAAGGCACACAGGGAAAAAAACAGTATTTGCTTAAAATTTGGTTAATAATTTAAATTTATAATAATAATGTTGAATAATAACAATTTACTTCTCTATAAAGAAACATAATACAGAAGTCGTTATTAACAATTATACCGTATCCAAGACAGCTCTATCAGTCATTTATTTTTCAGTCGAACTAATCTCTGTTACAATGATTATACTTTTTAATATAAATTTATCAATGTTTATAATACTTTAAGTTTTCTTGCAATTGTATTAACGTCATATTTCTAATATTTTTCGCTCCATTGTTCTCAAATACAATATTTGTATACAGTATTTGTCTTAACATATTTTCAAAATTAACTTTACTTTTGATTTGATCTGATTTAAATTTGCTCGTAAACTAACTAAAACGCTACTTAAAAACAAATAGTCGGTCTGACATCTATCACAATTTTTTATAGTGTAAAATATTTTTTATTCTTTTAATAAATAATTTGTTTGTTATATCTGAAGTGATAGAACTTCTTGGAACAGCCATTTTCCAGTGTGGCTGTAAAAAAGCTGGCCGAGGTGCAAGAGGCAAACTTATAATAAACACGCCGGCGCACGAAACCTCCAAAGGTTTAAAGCTGCTAAACCTGGCCAACGTTTTTGGGTCAGGATGGAAAGTTTTCAGCGTCGCCGGCAAAATTACATTCTGAAAATAGCTATAGTTTCTGCCCGACTCCCTACTTCGTTCATTTTTGGCAAGAATTTTAAAAGCTTTGACTCGGCCCGGTTGCCACTAAATTTCTGATGAGCAGCAAGCACTTAATGAATATTTTCGCCCGGCTTTGCATAATTTCCCCGTGAATTTCCTAAAAATAATTAAACGACTACTCAGTTCTATGAACGAGTTGGGTCTGAGTAAATTAGCTGTCACCAGTGGCTTAGTAAAAAATAAGTTGTGCATTGGAAGTGGCCGTATTCGAAGTTAATTTAAATATTTCTCTTAATTGACACCAGAGAACTGACAAGAATGGAATTCGACGGATATTGCCTGACTTTAAAAAGGAAATTATGGAGTACTGAGAATCGACATTACTTATTGAGGTGGAAAGCCATCACCAACCCATTTAAATCAGACAGATACAATTGTTTATCTAGTAAATAAAATTTACAATAAATATTGTAAATGTTTTTGCTTATCTGTTAAATATTAGGAATTGCAAAGTTAATTTAATAGTTAAAATGTTGTATTAAAAAAACACATAGGACATAAATGGATTATAAAGTATTTTTAACAGGTATGTTTCAAGAAGATAAGAAACATACCAAATAAGAAGACAGGTATGATTTATCATTTGGTATCATTCGTAAGGTAAGGCATCTCTGTTTCTTGGCCATATATTATTCGCAGTCAATAGCTCCGTGTGCTGCTTGGCAACTCCCAATCAACTGTTGCATACTTTACAACGCGGTCATCATCTCCGCAGTAGGTTGGCCATATTTCAAAACGTGCACACATGCGACCCATAAAAAGTTGTTCCAAAAGTGGGAGTCGCCGCGACTGGCATGGCCAACGTTGATTTATTTAAAGTAAGCCGAAGTTATGCCAAAAGGGCGCCATAAGAATGGTAAATAATGTATGTGGCTGGGCAGGTGAAGCAGGCGAAATCGCCTGGGAAATAAGCAAACTTTATGCCACAGCTGAACAGAGAGTTGAAAAAATTGATTAATGCACCTGCCAGATCATTTAATTAAGCCCCACACCGTTGACCACTCAGCGGCCCCACTTCATCATTAATGCACCGAATCGCAGCAGCCTCCGCCCACTCGGTGACCCACTTTGGTTTTCCTCAAGGTGTTCAACTATGTTGCACTACGGAAAAAAAAATATTTTCAAATGTGAAATTCCTAAGAACAAATAATTAAAATTGTCTATTCTTATAAAAGCTGATTTCATAAACATTTTACCTATTTTGATTTCAATATTTCTTAATACTGTTGTGAATACTGTGTTCATCATAAATAAACTGAATCGCTTTATTTGAAATATTTTATCTTAAGGCCTAATTTT